TGTAAAAACGAGCGTTCTTGCTCATTTTGCTTCCGAGAAACATGCAAAAGGGACGGAAAACATGAAATTTTGCAATAATCTTGCGCCACCCTTGCACAAAATCTTGCGCCACCCTTGCGACGATCATTTTTCTAATTTCATAAACAACAGAAGACTGTATTTTTTCTACTTAACCCCCCGCCCTGACATTAAGCTGGATCCGCCCCTGGCCGTATGCCAAAATGTTTCTAACTCTTCCTGATGTTTTCAGTGCTCTTTTATTCTTCTTGGGTCTTCTCGCGCTCTTGGTCCTTGATCTCAAAGGACTCAAGCAAAACTCGCTTTCCCCAGTCCGAAAATCCTATATGGTGGCTATGATGGACTCCATGGGCACATTCCCCACCACAGGCCGGAACAGCTGCAGGTAAACATGCTCAGCGCTGTAGCTGTACAGCAACGGAAGCGCCAGCAGGATGCGGACGCACCGTCGCTGATCCTTCTTCACCAAAAGCGCATCCACCGCTTGTTGTTGCAGCGCTGCCGCCAACAGCGCCTGCTTCCGGTCCGCCACCAGGTCCTTCCGACAGAGCAGCACATTCTCCAACAGCTCCTGCTCGGCCAGGTCCAGCCGGAGGCTCTTAAAGTGCTCGGCCAGGCTCTGGATGTGAGGCAGCAGCGCCGCAACGCCCTCATAGTGGGCCATCTTGAAGCACAGCAAGCAGGCCCAGAGATGGCCGAGGACTTGGTTCTGAGCCGGCCGGCTCAGAAGGCCGAAGCCTGAGTTGGAACGCGCCTGCTTGATGGCCAGCAGAAAGAGATGAGCCGCTACTTCATGGAGCGGCTGGAACGGCTCTGAAGGGCAGAGTTTGGGCTTGCGGGGGCCGCGCTCCTCTTGCACGGCTAAGGAGCGTGATTTGAGCAGTTTGCGGCAAAAATGGGCTTTGGGGAAATACCTGCAACGTTCATCTGGACGGTGAAGCAGCGCTGCAAGCGGCAGTACGGGCACCAGTTCCTGCGGGCTTTGTCCACCACGCACTGACCATCGCCAGCTGCAGGAATGGGAATGTTCTGATGAGGAAAGTGGACTTTTGCCCGAAAAACTTACAAATGCACGTATAAAACACGCCCTTACGCACGCTGCGCTTAAAGAAGCAGGAACATCCATCGCAGCAGTACACGCCATAGTGTTTGCCGTAAGAACGGTCACCGCACACTCTGCACGCTACAGGAGCGGGCAAGTTTCTACCTGTGGATGGAAGCTAAAGTGATGAGCAAGCCAAGCCAGGACCAAAACTTGCTTAGTCTTGCTCTTGGTCTTGGCATTGCTAACCAAAAGATAGTCTTCGGCTTGCAACGAGAATCGCCAGATCTCGCTCATCACTAAAGCTGAGTAGAAAAAGTATCAGAAGAGCAAAAACACTTCTTACCCATTTCTGCTGCAAACCGAAGGAACTCTAGAGGGCCGTTTACACTGCGTCGCGTTTTATAGGTGTTTTCGGACCGCTAATTGACAGGTTGCTCTATTATAGAGCTGTCAGCGTTGAGTGGCGATCGAAAGAGCGATTATTATTTAAATCAGTAGCGCAGATAGAGGG